CACCACCTAGTCCAAATTTTTTTTTTTATGTGGGGGTGCACACCCGAGTGTTGGATTCAGGTGTGCACTAATCAAGGTCCTTTTAAATATTAATTATATAGTAAGTAGAGTGGGTTAAGGGATGATAAATATTATCTCGAGTTCTTCTAACCTGTTAATAAATACATGTATTAATTTAGTTAAACTCTTGCCAATATATTAAATAACTCAGTGAAAATCTCTAAAAATAAAAGATTTTAAATATTAATTATATAGTATATAAGTAAAGTAAGTTAAGGGATGAGAAATATTATCTCAAGTTCTTCTAACTTGTACTATAATGGCATAGGTTAAAAACACATTTTCAGTATTAATTATTATAAAAAAATAAAATTTAATATTTATTTAATTAATCGTCCAATTAAATCAATACATGTAACATTAGTGATAACATTAATATCATCTTTTATTATTTTTTATACTAATTAGTATAAAAAAATGTATTAATTACACCCTTCAAGGCACATACAGGTTAAATAATTAAATTCATATTATCTTTCATTATACAACCTAAAATATAAAAAAACTAAATAAAATAAAACAAAGGCTAAACACTTGATAGTATAAAAGTAATTCTCATTTCCAAGCGAACTCCAAAAGTAAGGAAAACAGAAACATAAAAAAAAAAAAAAAAAATGAAGCAGAGTACAAAAATGCTTACCTGCCTGCTTTGTTGTGTGCTATTGTTTACCTTTGTGTTTCGCTGCTCCGGCGATATCAGCCAAAACAACTTCCTCACCAGGTACCATGTAAAGATCATCAACGAACTTGCAGACGGAAGGTACCTTGATGTGCACTGCAAATCAAAAGACGACGATCTCGGCCTGCAGCACCTAGGACCAAATGGTGGCAATTATATGTTCAGCTTCCGCATCAATTTTGGTGCCACTACTCTCTTTTGGTGTAATTTTTGGTATAATTATTCGCATGCCGTCTTCAAAGTGTTTGAAGGTAGTACTGGGTTCATAGTTGGCATGTGCGGCGGTGGTGACACCTGCACTTGGAAGGCACAAGTCGATGGATTCTATTTGTACAACAACGAAGAACAAAAGTATGTGTATAGATTTCCATGGGGAAGTAGTTAAACCCTAAAGAGGTGAATTTCAAACGGGGAATACTCCAGTGGTGTTAGGTGTGAAATAAAACAGGCTTATTTATTTATTTATATTTTAAAAAAATGGAATAGAAGGGGTGCTCACTCCCCCCCGCCCCCTTATTTTCTCTTCTAATTCATGAAAAAAAAATCACGCGTTTAATGTGAAAATAAGGAGTTATTCATGACCAATTAGACCATGAATAGGTTAAACACAAAAATTGCTGATGATTTCCTTAATTTCTTTGAGGATAGTAATTAGTACATTTTTTGTTCAATACATTCATTAAAAAGTTATTATATTTCAATTTTTAATTTAAAGAAAAACAAATTTAAAAATACATTTATATATACAGTAGGTAAAAACCAATGGTAATTATATTACATTTGAATAACTTAATCAGACATGTATTGAAAGATATATTAATTCCAAGGAGATATATTAATTCAAAGGATATATCATTTTCTTTCTCCAATTTTCTTTTTGAAAAATCCTTCAAATTCAAACATGATTCTAGACTAGTTGAGTGGTGTTAGGGCTAATAAAAAAATGCAGAATCTTCTTCGACTCTCAATTTATTGTTCTGCCGATTGAATCTAAAATACTTGGGTTACTCCTTTTTAACAATTCCCTCGGGTTGGCCAAGAATTTCAGGCGACCCCAAATTTTTTTCCTTATATATTCTACATCATGAAAAAAGAGATGGAAGTAAAAATGACTTGCCCAAATCTAAAAATCAAACCCATCGTCTTCTTCATCTCTGGCACTGAGAATCAAACCCAGAACATTAGTGTTGTACTTTACATGTTTCACCTTGATATTGTTGCTTTGGAGTCCATTTTGATGTGTGTGAACTCATGGGTATTCGGGAATGGGCTCCTTGGGCCTCGTGGACCTTTTTATGGGTTAATTGTATTACTCTCCCAACAATGCTATATTACCCTCCCAATAATGCCTAAACTGCCAGCTATTCAAGATGGCAGTGACATGCTGTTTTTGCAAGTTTTTTGCTTGAGTCAAGATCTATCATCTAAACCAGTTTCTAACTGTAGTTTATATATTATTGATAGAGAATGTCGAAATTGTGTAGTGCAATTTTTTTTAACTATGGATAGAGAAGTGGCTCCTCTATTCCATCAATTGTTATAAAGCATGCAGTTCTCCAAGAAATTAAAGTGCGTTAACTATAAGATCATAAATGAATTAACTATATTTTATTAAAATATTTTAACAATTAATAAACAAGTATATAAATATTGAATTGGCACCCGGCCTTGTGAGCCAATAACTATATGTCGATTTGTAAAGTTGCATTTCCTCAGTTTAAAAATTGGACTTTGAATCCTCCACCTCTAGTTATAAAC